CGAGTGCATCATGAAGGACCCAATATACTCCAACAAGACGTTGACGCGCGCGTACGCTGGGCACAGCGACGCTACGTTAGCAAAACGCGAGCACTGTATAGTCTATAGTCCGCCGCGACCAGCGTCCATCATCGTGGCCCGACGGCAACCGGCGCGCTAGGCGACGTGCGGAATTTGGCGCCCATGCGTTACCCAGACAGCGCTGCGTCTGCCTCTTTTCATGACGGAGGAACGCCGGACGCGCTGAAACGCGCATGCGTCGAAGCAAGGCTGCGCGCGCTGTCGAGTATGGCAGGACCGGCGCTTGGCGTGGTGGCAACGTCGGCAGTACGCGTCGAAACGAACGCTGGCGCGCACGCACGCCGGGTCATATCGAAGTGTATTGGCGCCTTGACTGTGGCATGTAGTCATGTTCTCACATGACACGTGTCTCATGATTATAACGCTTCCACTAGTCACATACCTTCATCATCCATGGAGGTCACGTATTACCGAATTCGGCATATTTGAACTACGCTAGCGAAACGGCCGTGAGTGCATCATGAGCGTAGTATGTAGTCAGGTTGTTACATGACATGCATCTCATGTTTATCATGTTCGCGCCAGTCTCATACCTTCGTCATCTATTCACGTCCCGATATACCGCATTCGGTATATGTGACACTAGCGAAATGGTGGAGAGCGCATTATGAGCATGGTATGTAGTCAAGTTGTTACATGACACGCATGTCATGATTTTCATGTTAGGGTCTGTCACTTGTGTTCACCATGCAATCACGTCATACCATACCAGTTTTGCAACATGTCATGTGAACGGAACCACTGCAAAAGCAGCAAGACTATGAAATGTGAATCATGACATTCATGACATACATGTCATAATTTTCATGTTATGACTAGTCACATATTCTCGCCATATAGTCATCTTATGCCATACCAAGTTTGGCATCGATACCATTATCCAGACGCCCAGGAGAGCTAAAGATCGTAGGCGGCTATATAGATAGATAGATAGATAGATAGATAGATAGATAGATAGATAGATAGATAAATAGATAGATAGATAGATAGATAGATAGATAGATAGATAGATAGATAGATAGATAGATAGATAGATAGATAGATACGCTCAAAATCGCCAAAGCTCGCTGAGAATTGCTTCGCATTTAAAAAAGTGGCAGCATATCAACGGAGTGAATGATGGAGAGTGGGGTGAAGCGTTCGTCCGTCCATTCGCTCTTGCTTCCATCCATCCATGCGTCCGTCTGTGTGACCGTCCATGCCTCCGTCTGCCCATCCGTGCGTGCATATGTTCGTGCGTCCGTCCCTGCCTTCGTCCATGCATCCGCCCCTGCGTCCGTTCATGCGTCCATCCATACATCTGTCTGTGTATCCGTTCGTCCATCTATTTAACACTCCAAGTACTAGCATCTCGCATCTTTTCATTGTATATTCCTCATATAGAAGCACCACCATCCACCGGACATTCCACAGACTAAACGAGAGGTGGCACACGCACACTTTTTACGGCTTGCGCTTCGGATATACTTCCCACCTTTACGCACCTTGAGTTCATGGTATATACTGGTTCACAGTATTCAATGCACTGTGGCCAAACGCTCGCTAAACCTTTCTAAAACCAAGGAGGTTACCTTTCTAAAACCAAGGGAGCAGAGGGCCACGCTCATCGGAAGGCCACGACAGATATCTTGCGCGGCGCCTGTCGGCCACGCGAGCCGCGTTACCTGCATTAGTGGCCGCACCTTTGCCTGCCGTGTGCTACGTCGAACCGTTTCATGTAGCCGCTAGACGTTGCTCCATACACATCCTAAGGAATGCGCCAGAAATAACAGAGCAGCAAATTCAAACACACCATGAAGACACCACCGGAACCATTGAAAGAGCATTGCTAGAAGTGCCGGTGGAAGTTATGCTGTGCGGCGCGAGCCGGTTTGTTTACAAACACTGAAACCGTGTATACTCTAGACGAATAGCAGCTATCTCTCAGTCATGATTCGCGATTGCTTGCAGATAGTGCTAGACCACATTCTTATTCTTCTAGTTACTTGAATCTTGTGGTTCGGCTCTGCAGTTACTACATTTCCTAAGTAAACGTACTTTTTCACAAGTTCAAATGCACTACTACCTATCTCAAAGCACTTTTCTCTTCCGAGGTTGCTCTACATTACTTTCGTTTTCTGCAGATTAATTTTAAGACTGACCTTTCTGGTCTCCTTGTCTGATTGAATAATCATGAATTACAATTCATTCCGTGAGTTACTCACCAATGCAATGTCATCGGCCAAGCGCACGGTACTAAGGTGTTTTCCCATAACTTGTATCCCTAACTCCCCTCATTGTAGGCATCCGAAAACGTTCTGTGAGCAAGCGCTAAATGACATTGGAAAGATTGTAACCCCTTGCCTTGCATCCTTCTTTATTGGTATTCCGTCGCTTTCTTCATGGAGCGCTATAATGGCACTTGACGCACAGTAGATTTCTTTTAGGATGTTTATATGTGCTTCGTCAATGCCCTGATTCTACAGTGTCTGGGTGACTGCTGATATTTGTACTAAATCAAATACCGTCTCGTAATCTATGAAGGTCATCTATAGTGGTCGAGCGCATTCTGAGCATTTTTCTATCACCTGATCGATAGTATGAACGAGGGGGATTGTTGAGTAGTCTGTACAAAATCCTGCTTGAATGTTTGGACCACATTATGCTCCTTTAAACAAAATGGACAGCCTCTTCGTGTTGCCCGCCCACAACATGTCCTTTCGATTAGCTTTAGAATAGGTGTCCATTAGCTTCTCTCGCTGAGAGCTTGGTGTTTACTGCCTTGCTTCGTTAGTTGCAGAGGTGGGAAGGTGGTCCTTCCGAATAACCATATGTTGATTGAAAGCATAATATAGCAAGTTTAACAGCCCGCAGCAGGCAGAAAAATAATCCCACAGGTTTGGACATAGCCGCTCCACGACCAAGACTATTCGAGATGGGAGAACATATATGACCTGATCCAGGAATATCATAACTTTCAGCATCAGTCGACCAATGCATAGGTGAAAATCTCTCTTCCGGTGAATATATCTCACTCGACTGCTGTTACGATGGCGAAGTCGTTTGTTCAAGCTTCGGAACATTGGCAGGGTTATGAAAGTAGTGCAATTAGTGGCCTTTTGCTCTTGATGGTGCATGCCCCCATGCCCACAAAACATATTCCTGCAGGATAAATTACAGTGGGAGATTGTGGCACACACGCCAGCCCAGACTTTGTGAAGTATCAACTGCTCATATTTGGTAAAATACCTTCAATTGGAAGTTGTAGTGATGCGTAATGGCTCGACAAGAAAGCATCACTCAAGAATACGCTATAATTACTTCTTCGACCATCAGTACAAACAGGTAAGCAGTAATTTTCGGAAGGACAATCGTGATTAAATAAAAGTCTCAAACTTTCTGCGATAGCTCCAGTTTATCTGAGATAGAGCCAATATAGTACTAAGAACAAGCTACCTTGACTTATGGCTCATGCAGACACAGCGAATTATCAACTAAACGTAGCACAACTTCTCAAACGTTAAATTTGGCCAGAATGGGCTTGATCATTGCACATCCTAGAGAATACAATACACGGTAGAAGGCAAAGTTATTTTCATTCTGCCCAGTTTTGGCTAAGTTGTGCATTGCTCTTTGTGCTACCTTGACTGCAAATGTTTATGTGACTTCAGCTAAAACGCTGTCTTCTTTCGGAACATAATGCGAAGTCTGGGTAAGTAGAGCGGATTTTGTTTTGAGGTAGAAAAATGCTAGTTGTTAAAATTTCTCACAGCTTACTTGTTTCGAAATCGAATGCTTACAGACTAAAAGATAGGTAGCTTTCACTTACATGAAATAAAATTATCGCCTACTCGGACTGCATTTTACGGACAATGTAGTGTACTTCTAAACGAAGCTACAACAGTGGTTCTTTAGCTGTGGCAAAAGTAGGAATGAAAAAATTTAAAGAAACGGTGGGATAAAATGAAAATGTACTTTTGAAATGTAAAGAGTCCCGTTAGGATGGCATTATTATTTTAGCACTTTAGAACTAGCAATTAAACTTTGCCAAAAAGTCAACATGCATCTCTTCATTTACTGTTCAAAGCAAAAACAAAATTGCTGGAGCTAGATGATAACGGGATAGAGATCATTTAGCCCTTGGTTATTTATATGCTGTTTTCCTGTGATTCGTGCTGGTTTCTCATGTTTTTTTTTTGGTAAAGGGTGACGTGTACTAGCCGGCCTAAATAGGCACTATAGTTAACTCGGTTAGCACAGCAAATTAGAGCATGCACAATTTTTCCCTTGACAGCAGTCCGTAGGTAACCACGGTCGACCAGGATCACGACACGTTGGGTGAATCACCGCCTGAGTATTTTTTCACTTAACTTTTCGTTTAGCAACTGTCAGAGGAATGGGCGCTAAAGTTCTTCAACGATTCACTGGGGATGAGGCACTGGGCTCATTTCAGTTGGTTGAAGTGATTTTCCGTGCTCTAATGAAAGCACGGCCACCACTGAAGCTAGACCGTGGTCGTGGGTCAATCTACATTTTCGCTGCTGTGAAGAACCAAAGCGCTTGTAAGCGGACAGGCTTGGATCGAGTCATTAATGTGTAAACATAACCTCCGCGTAGAAATTGAATGCCGTCTTTGTGCTGGTTTCAACGTCGCGAGAAACACATTGGTCAAGAATATGCCAGTATAATGGCTCTTGTACATTCTCAAGTTAAATATATCACTATGCGCCCAATAAAAAGAGAAAAAACCACGCGAAAATGCCAAAACGTGCACCGTGCATAAACAAGCACATTTATGATGCACCTAGGCAAAGTATAAAAATAGGCTCATGATGCTAAGCATCATAGTATGTGCTTAATGAATGCTAACGATCACTCAGGTCGTTATATGTGTGTGTTCACGAAGCTCGTCTTCGGAAAAAAAAAAACGACACATCAAGTGCGTGGTCAACCAGTTTTTTTATTTGATGGTAGACAGTCTATGTGGTATGGATGTGCCTCGCACTTTCCTTTTTCCAAGTTTCTTAGGCACTTTACGATCTGTTTTGAATGGCAGCTTTTCTGCAAGCACGTACAGGTGAACTTAGTCACGTCAGCTTTGCAGCCAATTTTTTCGCCGTAAAATTTTGCTTTCCAGGGAAATGTACAGTGGCATTTACCACAGATGATTTTTGTTGAGCTGTTAGCTGAAAACTCTGGAACACCTTTTAAGCCGGGCCCTGGGGAGCACAAAGCATATATGTGAAAACACGAACTGCGTGTTGGGAAAGTGATTGGCATAACATTGAACTTAGGTGCTGATGATAGTTTCTGGAAAAACACATTGCATATCTAGTTACATAAGAGTGAAGCAGGTTAGCATAGAGAAATAGTAGCATTAAAATACCCAAATGAATAGATATTGTTACGTCAAAATAAATTAGGTAGATATTCATAAAACGCTAATAATAATATTTGTTTCATTTACTGTCCCAAAAACACGATATGGTCATGGGAGACTCCATGGTAAAGGAGTCTTGAAATTTCGACTACCTGGGGTTTTTAACGTGCCTCCACATGGGCCTTAAGCATTTTCACCTCCATCGAGAATGCGGTCGCGGAAGCCTGAGTTTAATGCCATGACCAGCGGATCAGCAGTCGAACACAATAGCCACTTGAGAACGGCAACAGGTATTTATTAGAGGCTGGATTTCCTGAACTTTCTTAATGTGGATTGTTTACTTCATGTCATGCATCAAGATCTAACATTTCTGTTGTCTGAGAATGAACCACGAATTGTGAAATTATCTGGCAAGTTTTAGTAACGCATATCGTGCAATGCTCATGCGTTTATTTTTGTCTTTATGCGGCTACACTTTATTCTTGATTAAAAAGATACCAAAGCTTCTCATGACCTCGATCAATTTTCAGTCACCTGTTGATTGGCTTATTGCCTGATATGCCATGCTTATTACCTGATGAAAAATTTGAAGCAGGTGACATTGCGTTTCAGCAAATAAGTGCGTGGGTGATCAATCTTCAGCACAATAATATGTTTTGCTGGTGGCAATATTTTGATTATGTAAGCTTAAGTGATATGGAAGGCAATTTTATGCTAATGGTGAGGGGCACGCGTTAGCTCGTAGTAGACAACAAAAATATGCGTGATTATGAATTATGAGCGCTGTGCTGTAACATACCTAGACTAAATACAGAAACCATGTATGCCACCATATCAGCATTTTATTTGTAGATGCACAAGTCAGTGCTATGATTCAGGTTCAAATTTTATCTAAGAGAACGCAAGGTATGCTTGCACTTTGAACTTTATTTCGCGTCTATACATGACACAGATGACGGGAACACAGACATAAAGCCATACACTGGCTTCACGACATCTCTGCCCCCCCCCTTTTTTTTGTCAACATACAGCAGACGGGAAACAACAAAAGTGATACTAAGCTTTATGATGTTTACACAACTGAAATAAATGTCTATCAGTCACAATGGGCAGAGGTCGCTGGAAGTTCATCTGCTGTGGAAGAGATCGGCTGTGGTTACGTAGAGTTAAGCTTTTATTAGTTTTCTTGCTTCTTTGCGTCGGCGCGCAATGCACTAAAGCTAGCAGTTATTCTAAAACATTAGAACTCACACCATAATATGTCTAACACTTAAGTTGAACAACGTGATTCTATAGCACACAGGCCCCCGTGCTCCGATACCCCGCAAAATTAGTTTCTCCACCTCAATCCTCAATGCATAACGGCTGAGCTACAGTGCTTTTAATTCGTGACGACGTAGGCCTTCAATAACTAGCTATTTTGATTAGTTCACTAAGGAGAACATACGAAGCAATACGCACAACAAAAAAAGAATTACTGGAAGAGAAATAAGCCACAAACAACCAAACATACAGAAAATGCTATAAATTGGAAGCATAATTGTTTCAAAGGAGTATTTTTGATTCGTGAATACTGAACATCATGCGTACATATACTTGTGTCTTAATCATACTAAAAGTTACTATTCATGCATGTGAATGAAGTACAGCATTTCTCAGGCATAACGGCTGCTTCGTTTTTGTACTACTTTAATGACAAAAATGCTTCATCTTTTCCCTCATCTGCATTTGTTTGGCCTAGGCCTGATTCGGCACACACATTTTTGTGTTTAAATGCACACAACTAGGTTCACATCATAAGTCAATACACCTCGGTGTTGCAGAGATTTTGTCTCGTATTAAATGTAATCAACGCTGTTTTCTTCAAGACATGTTAGTGCGTGCTGATAACTTATGACATGTATAAAGCCATGAGGAAGGTAAATCGGTGTCTCATTCGAAGAAAATATAAACTAGGTAATGTGTTCTATAACACTACTTTTTATTTCGAGCGCTACTTGTGGACCATTATATGTATTAGAACGCCATACAGCTTTAGCCTTATGAGGTTCCAGGGAATATAAAAGCGGTGCTGCCCACTTCAAGCCTGTCCTTGCCCTATTCCCATCAAATTGTGGTTGAATGGACATTGTCTATTGTCGAGGACGTAGCTCGTTTGTGCAATTGTTGCTAATTTAGGTTATTTTCTCGCAGAAAAGCCTGGCCTCTAATTCCTCATGAGCGAACTAGCGTGAGGACGAGTGTTCGCATGAGACCACGTTCAAGTAGCGTGATGTTATTGCGCTGTAACAAATAGGCATGCTATCATCTTGCTCTCATTGTGCTAACACTTCTATCAGCGGAATAACGATGTTGTGTGCGACTACTGAAGGACACAGGCACACATTATAGGCACACATGGTAAACAAATGTGTTGCGTCATAATGCTACGTGGGAAAAAGAGATTTTACCCAACGACTGCAACCATTTTAAGGTAATAAGAAGGTATATTTGTGCACTTTGCCAAGAGTCGCCCCTCAAGAGATTTTGTGAGCACAACATGCAGGCCAGTTTTTAGAATCAGCTCATTAAGCTATCCAAAGTCACCTACCCTTGTTCGGTCATGATGCCTGTGGCTGGAACGCCCTTACAGAGGATAATAGCGGGCACTTCTATGATATGATTTAGAGCCGGAAAGCTCAGTAGCCCAAGCCCTGAAGTTGTGCCTTGTGTGTACAAAATGAGCCACATTCAAAATAACCGCCAGGCCCCTCTTTATTACTCATATTATTGCGATTCCTTTCCAGATATTAAGCCTGCCTAAGGCCAGTTGGCACTGGAGTCCCAAGTGCCAGAGTGGCTCAGTCGTAGTATACATGGATAGCACGCATGGAACCCGGTTTTAAATCCCATTGTGTTGGTAGTTTTTATTTACTAGAGTTTCTTTTATTTCGTGTGGAAGGGGTCATGGACTCCAGCGGCGGCGGTGAAGGATAAGTCAGGCGCCTGCGACCAGTTTTGTTATAACAGCTTTCGCTGTAAAATAGTGGCCAGTAGGTACGGTGCACCAATTGTTCTTTCTGCTCCCAATAGATTTGCCCAATTGTGTCTCCCCATCATGACTAATAATACAAAAGGATGCCATGTTAAACATGCCAAGTCGCGTGTGTGTCGCGCTACCGGAGTGGTGTCTCCTGTCTGGCGGCAAGTGCTACGTTTGGCAAAATGGTCGACCCGTGAATGATAGAATGAAAGAGCACACGAGTGAGTAGTTTGATTGATATGTAAGGTTTAACGTCCCGAAACCACCATATGATTATGAGAGACGCCGTAGTGGAGGGCTCCGGATATTGAGACCACCTGGGGTTCTTTAACGTGCACCCAAATCTGACCATCGGAAATGCAGCCACTGCAGCCGGGATTCGATCCAGTGACCTGCGGGTCAGCAGCCGAGTACCTTAGCCACTAGACCACCGCGGTGGGACTACGCGAGTAATTTGAGCAGAGACATAAATGCGTACCTTCCTGCACCTTTCAAATCCTTCACATGTGATCCAAAATTTATTTATATCAAGATCTTGTAGGAGTAAAGATAAAAAGGCACGAGAACATATAGAAGCGTATTTCACCAAGAAGAATGGTAGTGATAGTGTTAGTCGACGTCTGTTGTCTTGTTTGCGTTAGAATATGCGTTTTTTCAGTCGTACTGTTGTAGGAATTGTTTGCTTAGTACCCCCTGTAGCCTGCCGGATGCAACCCTTGTGCCTGCTTGGTTGAAACATGTATTCTGTGTGTCGTCAAATTTCCATTATAGTTCATAGTGGTGCCTGCGGTTCGTGGTTCTGTGTGTCCATTGCATCGTTTTTTTTTCGCGCTATGTTATGATTTTCAATAAGTCCTTTTGCAGATGTTTTTAAAGTTGCTAAGCAGGTGTTCTGCAGATGTGTTGAGAGTTGTCTTCTGAGTTGGCGGTCATCTCAGAAGAATTGAAACTTTGTTGCATCAATTTGGTACATAAATCTATGAATTCAAACAGCAAACTTCTTGGCAGAGAATAACATTGGTTTCATAATAGTAGGAATATATTATTTATACATTGACTTGGTTTGAACAAGAATATCAGTTGCTCATACAGCGTGGTATACTCATTCCTGTTAATTTAGTTTTTGTGTTCAGTGAACCTTTGCGTTATCGGTGTGGCCAGCCGCCTATACCGATTAGCATCTCAAAATATCATGTGCATCGTTGCCGAAATGGTTGAATGAACAGATATAGAGACACTTGGGGCGTAACCTGCCATACCAGACTAGAAGTTGTGGTGAGATATGCTTGTAACCATGTCCACTGGAGTAAGTCACAAACATAACAATCTGACAGATGCGACCGTGAACATGAGGCAGCTATAGAAGCGGCATAGTACTGAGCTGTATTTTACTGGTAAAATTGACTAAGACAGAGCTTCAAGGATGTAACACCAAAAAACGAAAGCTATAGATCTTTTATTCTCAATGGGACAATAGCTGATTATGAAATACTATGGACTCGTTGCAAAGAGCATTAATGTGTATCAAATAAGGTGTGATGCCTAATGCATTTACTTGTCTCTTGGAAAAACTTGCATGTGCAAACACCCTCGAGAACGTGGTTTTGTCGCGCCAATGAATATGAGAGATTTTAAGATCTACAGACTGGCCATGGGAGGCGTTCGCCAAGAAATGATTAAATCACGGCAAGTTTCAGTATTGCACAGAAGGCGAGCGTAAAAGTAATCATAGTTTGATCCGCACCTTAATACCTATTTCATAACGCAATTCTTGAACGACTACGAATCTCAGCAAAAAATTTTAGGCAAATATTTCTTTTTTTTTGAAGTCTTTGGTAAGTCTGCTTCGCTGTTCGCTGCGCTTAACATTGTAGTTATTCATTACACTCTGGAAATACCCATATAAACTTTACTAGTGCCTTATTCCCACACTTGCAGCCAGTGGTGCTTAAGCTAGTGCTGAAAGGTAAAGTAAGGCTTGCTGGGCGAGTTCGTTATCGTCAATGGGGTGATAGCGCAAGTTTGTAAAAAGCCAAATTCGAGAAAAAAAGTGTGAAGAAGGCATTTCATATCAGGAAGAGAGACATGAGTTGTATATTAGTGATATATCTCTTTCACCCGAGCAAAATGAGCGACAACTTTTTGACGTTTCCTTCGATAATTGTTCCCTAAACAAAAAAAAAAAAAACAGGCGGTATGTAGGGCCGGCGGCGTACAAGATATGTTCTCACTGTCTGGATTCAATGCGTTGTTTTGGCAGTGAGGCCCAACGTTGAGGAGTAAACATCGAAAGAGCTTGCGTGTTTTACAAACGAAACAGTCGTTGCGTCGGTGAAGCTGTGATGTCGTTGTTGATGGCTACAGTAAAGACGAAGTATCGTTGGAGGAGACGGCTTGAAGTGGCCCGACGTACACAGGCTCAGAATCAGTCACGCAGGCCACCGTGGCCCTTTAAGAAAGTAGACTTTTCTCTGATGCCGTATTCACGGAGGTGAAAAGTGTGGAGCCATTGCAAAAACAAACCACATCGGAGGCGACAACTATGCGTTGACCGACGCAACTAAATGATGGTGAGACAAATGGTCGATGTGTTTTGAGGAAACAGTCACAATTTGCTCTTGACGCGGCGGTAATTTGGTATGCTATACCTCATTTAGACGAAATGGCCTCTGGGCGTCGTCGTTGAGCATGTAGTCTGTGTCAGTGAGGTAGACGACGCGTTGGCCCCAGCAAATAGTCCCGGAGGCAGAAGGAGGAAAATGAGCAGTGTTTACTGATTTTGATGCAAGCATGCGCATAGGCTTGTAATTTGATGGATGGATTGATTGATTGATACACGAGGTTTAATGTTCCAAAAGACCATGTGATTATGAGAGACGCCGATTTGCAATTTTGTGCACTCTCCATTTGAATAAGCAGTTGAAGTTTAGCACAAGTACTTTTTGCTTCCCCCTACTTTTGTTCGCAAAACGTTTTTTCATTTTTGCTCTATTATGTACTGAATTTGTGTATGTGAGTAGCTGCTGGCTGGGTAGCGCTACGACAGCACACTGCATGCCCCTGGAAAACAATGGACTTTAGAGGTAAACAAGTTATTTTGTACAATGCGTTGGCAGTTGAGAAGCTCAGCTGTTATGTTTGTTGTAAGGTTAATAAAGAAGCAGTCTGTAGTCAATAAGTGCATGAATTGTGACGAATGCATTGACCCGCAACATCACTTACCAGTGTATCCAGTTATGTCATCATTTGGGTTATGCAAGAGATCGTGAGGCCCTGGTCCTACAAATGAAAAGAGGTAATTGTTCATCATGACAGAATTTGAAAAAGTAAGAATTCTTCCAGTATCAGACAAATGGGGGTGAGTAATGCTTGGTGCGTGCATGGGTAAACTGCTAGTTTCCATTATTACTTTTTGGCATATGGAATTATGAATTGCTCCCATCTAACGTTTTCTATCCTAGATGCCGGATACTGAACTTGGAGCGAAACACTACTCTTGCTTCAGGCAATAGCAAGAAATCATGCATGAAACAATAGAATGCCAGAGCAACAACGAAATGACAATGAATTGAAGTGAAAAACAATGAACTGAACTAGGTCAAATATCAGATTTCTATACCAGAAGTCTTTTCACTAGCATTAGAAAAAAAACGCTTAGAAGGTTTACTCAAAAAATAAGAAACAATCAGTTTAAATTATTTCTTTCTTTAGGGCTTCAGCTCTGCGCCACAGCAATAGGAACTTCTGCAATAGCAACGTCTGCAACTTAGAGGCACAAGAAGAATTAGTTATGTTATTCTCAATAAAAAAGCACATATTTATTGGTATTGCATATCCTAATTTTGTACTTATGTAAGAATTAGAGGACCGAATATTTCAATTTATTTAATCTAAATTTTAAATTTCTCCCTTATGTTAACCGCCGGTTTACATGGCGAATTCCAGTTAAAGGGTACGAGCCACTTGTACAGGGTTGAGCAAGCAAGCAAGCAAGCAAGAAAACAAGTAAATGGCTGATCGCTTGAAAAACGATGATTGACTGTGCACAGGTACTTTGGAAAGCAGCTAATATTCCAGTGCGAAAATGATTATTGCAAAATGATTGATAAAAACTCAGAAGATCCCATAAGCCTTGGCAATCGATGTTATGGTAACCACGTGAATGGAAGGTAAATGGTTTGTAATCTTTTATTGAGCTAAACATTAGCAGCAGGCGCTAAAGATATATAAATACAAGCAAGACACTACCGTAAAGAGCAACATTTTACGTTTTATATAACCCGATGTTTACGGATGTGTGACGATGTCAACAGAAACTTGTATACTCGCAACATCCAAAAGCTGGAAGATGATATGAAGCGGCGATACTGACAAAGATGCTATCCCTAAACTGTGGCACATATACGAACTCCAGTGCGTGGCGCCTAACTGCAGTTGACGTTAACCCGACGTGATGGCTGTGTCACAAGAGGATTGAGGTAACGTTTATCAAATTAGAAACCAATAATTGCAATCATTACTGACATTAGGGTCTATTTGAAAAGTAGTTCCGAGACCTGGCGTAGCCCAAATATACAATATTTATTGCCATGCTTAATGCTGGGGTTCCACTTTCGGCTGGGACTCTGACCTTTTTAAAGGCGATAGTCTTTCTTGGGGACCTTCGATGCAGAAATTTTGGTCTGTCTTTCTAACTGTACATTTGTCTGTTTGCACAACGTTACCGCCGACTGGGTACTCTAAAGAGCACCAGCCGATACTTTGCACAGCCGACCCCATCCGCAGTGACCACCAATGTTGCTCAAGGATCAGCGTTCATAGATATGCGATTGTCAATTAAAAACCAAGTATTGCGCATATCTGAGGCACCATAAGAACACATATATATATTCTGCATGTTCGTCTTTTACTAGAAAAGCCATACATAAGTAATACTAAGGACCGTAGTGCTTATCACGCTGGGCTGACTATCCAACGCTTGCACGGAAAGGCGAGTGTTTCTAACGCTTCGACAAAACGTGACGGTGGTGGCACTTACCCGTCGCCTTGCGTTCTACGCCTTACCACCTCTGAAGCGGGCGCGCACACCCGTCTCAGAGCCACGCACTTTGTTTTTGAAAAAAAATGATCAGATGGTGGTCATATCTCACGTGTGACGTGACTCGATGCGTTCATTCGCCTCCGCTGCACACTAGAGACACTATAACGCAGCGCCTCAAGAATACCATTCACCGATTTTCTTGAGCAGAACATCAAATAAATGTTTTGTTCACTCTCTCCACACGCAAGACTATCTTCTTTCGACGACATTTGCAAATTAAATGCAGATACGGGGCCTAATTTTTTTATTTTTAGCGTTCCTTGGGCCAATTCTGCCGATGTCAACATTTCTTTACGCTCACACGTTAAAATGTACATCTCTGGGTAATGTATAATGTCTTCGACGGTAGACAAACTCTCAATCCCTTGTGGCACATACACACCTGTGGGTGTGTCACATCTGGCAGAAAGAATTTGACTATGTACACGACGACAATGAGACATTATTCATGTCATGACTAGTGAGACATATTCGTCAAATTCATCTTATACCCTCCCCTACTAATATTGGTTTACCCCAACTTATAGGGCGAACGCAAGAGCAATCAGACGTAGGGGGCTAGATATATAGATAGATGGAGGCTCAAAGTTCCTGTAGTACGCAAAAAAATACTTCGCATTTAAGACGGCACACCTTCGAAGGCCTACTAGTATATAGCAGCATTTCGATAAACTCGCTACTACCAGGTTTTTTCACGCATTATGGCACCATCACAGAAATTAAACACTAATAGAAGCTTTGTCAATAGATAGTTGGAGCTTTGAATAAAGGAATAGCTAGAGCACAAAGTAGGTTAAACGCATATCGAATGGCTCAAAAGGTAGTAGAATGACATTATTTTAAGCATTTGGCTATGCCAAATAAAGGCAAATGACTGGTGCGTGTAAGTACTTAGGAACTGGGTGCCATGGGGCTGTCCAGTGTATCACACACTGAATAACAGTCAATTCAAGGACTTGGCATAAAAGGCAGAATAAAGTAGTCGTTTGAAGGGATCAACGGGCAGAGACTCATCGCTGTAATTGCGCCAGGCCGAAAACGTAGTATATTGCGTAACGTGTGGGTGTTTTAAATGCCCGCTTGTTAAAAGATAAGAAATATAATTTTGTCTTGCAGGACACCCATATCGCGTAGCGGGCGTCTTCCACGCAAGAACCGACAAGGAGTACCTAGCGGCTGCTTCGTGAGCCTGCTGGATTGCTGGCCGGCGAGGAGTGAGCTTCTGAGGGAGCTCTCCCACTTGTTTGAGGTAGAGACGAGATGCCAGTTTCTGCACTTCCACATCATCTGTGCGAGTGTCGCCACGTGTCTACATGAGGGCCACATGCCACTGGGGTACGCATCGGGATATAGTAAACGTGAAGCTTGGCAAGGTTTGGGTAGGTGCGGATTTGTAATAAGCGTGGTGTTAGCACTTGTGGTCTGGTAAGTTAGGAATTGGGGGGGGGGTGAAAATGGTTACAGTTTAGAAAGACATCACCGATACTTATCATCATCAGCAGCAAAAGCATCATTAAAGTGGACAGTTCCGTAGATTAGCGTGTTTATCTTACGAACTCGTAGTGTCCACATCGCTGATTCGCAAAAGAAATTTGACGCAGTGTTTTCCATAAGTTTGACGCAGTGGGCACTTGACAAGAGTACTTCCAGTAGACACTTCAAGACAGTTTGAAATGACCAATGTCATGCACCCAGATATCCGCCCTTTATGCCAGCGTTTTGGCATCAGCCGAGAACCACTGCGAGGCTAAAAATTTAGAAGCAGACGCACATAGACTCGATTAGGCTATACCGTTCTAATCTTTAAGGCGAAGCTCAAGCATACTCCACAATTTTCATGCTATCATTTATGTTCACCGGTATTTACTTTAGCAGTCCATCTACCCAGTGGTATCCGTCACACGAGGTATTGGTGTGCCAAATAATTTACTACCTCAGACCGGACAAAAGAGAATGTTTCAATTTATGCAAGAAACACACTAGACCATGCTGCATGAACAAAGAGGGGCTTTTAGTTTCCTGATGTGTACATATCATAACCTCTCAATGTCGTCAAAATGTTATAGCTAGGTACTCCTTCGAATGAAAATGCTAGAAAGACATTCAAATCACTGTTACCTCTAGTAATACGTCAAACATTAGAGCTACTTGGTTCTAAGAGAGTGCGTATTGCATAAAACAAACATGCAAGTTGTTTACATCGCTCTTCGGGCTCCCAGAAATATTTAACTTTATGTTTTTTTATGCAAGCAACAGACATCTTAAGATATGACACGGAAGGTATACCAGAATTTTCACTTACGGCTCCACATGCCTATGCCGTAGACGTCCGGTAGTTCTGGTTCTTCAGACTTTCCTTTCTGAAAGCAAAAATAAAATGAGTGGCATGGGTATAGACGCGCCACATTATCAGATATGCAAGGTAACGAAACCATTAGCTGAGTATTCTCATGCTCGAAAGAAGATTGCATTGTACGGTTTGTTGAGCATGGCGAAGAAGCGGCTCAAGTTAAACTTTCTTGTGCACTTCCACGCGTGGTTCTGACACGTGAAATCCTGCGGCACTAATAAAAACGTACTTAAATGATGATGTAACCAGGAAATACATGTAACGCTCCAAAAGAAAAGTTATTGGGGAACACAGTCCTCTCTACCTAAAAAAGCTGGAGATATACGTCGAGCATATCAACAAAACATGCAGTACTCTTCAAACGTGGAGCGCTCGTACTATTCGTGCACATTTAAGGGCAATTGGGTCTTTATTAGGCGATTTATGCAATCATATCTCAATAAAGTTCAGTTTTGAATCAGAGTGGCAAAACTATTTGAGATGTGACGTCGTTTATTGTAGCTGGACGTCAGGGAACCTCACTGAACGTTAACAGTGGAGCAAGGACGTTTGGTTCATCGAATAGTGGCGGGCGCCAAGGCAGCCAAAATCCCGGCAAGCGCGAGCTGGAGTCTTGATCTGCTACGGACACTCGTGCTTGCTTGCTCACTCGCGTGATTCGTCATTGTCTTTCCTTCATCACAACGAACTTAATAGCTAGGTTGCTACGTCTTGCTTGGCCGGGTAGCAATATGATCAGAAAAAACACACACGAAAAAGATGAATAATACCGTGCGCACGACTAAGCAAGCAGCGCCCAGATGCTTATTGTTATGAACTAATGAACAATTTTTCAGGGGGTCAATAAAATGTGGCATTTTAGCGTAACAGGTGCTACTAGCCTTAAAAAGCCAGGGATAAGTCTCCAATTTTTTACGCGTCCTGAATGAGCTCATGAAATCGGGTGGACTATCATAATGTTCACGTCAAGGTCATCGTCAAGGACGAGCTGCACCAAGCCGATCGTGACCGTGTGAGTGTAGATAACACCACACCCATCCCGGCTGCCTACCACTATGCGACCTATGCGGAAGCCTTGAAGCGCCTTGCTTCCTGTTCCCCGCTATTCGTCCAGGCACTTCCTACGATTTGACTTCAGTCGGCACAGGAGCGCTCCGGTACTACGAGAACACGCGCACGCCACCCCCCTTTGTTTACGCCAGTCCTGCACATCTTGCCGAGCAACCAGCACATTACCTCGACGACACACGCACATCGCCGCGGAAATATGTTTTCGCACTCCTGATCGCCGACCTCTGTGCTTTCACTGCGGTGATGTCGACCACTTGTACCACCAGTGCCCATACCGGCACCTCGGGTGCGGGGCTTTTCAGTATATTCGGTGCTTCTTCGGCATGGCCAGCGACCCTTGGGACATTGAGGACTACCTGGCTCAGCAGCACATGCCACCGCCTTATGGGCGGCTGTCGAGCTCGCCGTCGCTGAGGCGCTTTCTATCTCCTCCCCAGCGACATGCTGGCGCGCGGTCCCCCAGTCCCCACCAGGAAAACTAACCAAAGTGACCTTTGGAGGCAAGGTGCTGGCAGTCGATGTGTTGAAGACCTCCGATCTACGCTAACAGGCAAGGATGTAGATTCGACTTAAAGGTAGGTGCGGCTTTCTCTGTATACACCGGTGCTGATCGACGGCTATGAAGTTGGTCCTTTAGTAAATACCGGAGCTGACTATTTTATACTAAGTGGAAATATGACAACACTAATAAAGAAGGTAATAACGACCTGGCAGGGCTCCGTGGTTTGAACGGCTGGTGGTCACACCGTCTCTCCAAACCTGCACGAGTAGAGTTTGAGACTGGGGTTTAACTTTCGTGGCAAGTTTCCTTGTGCTCATTAAATGTTCACGTGACGCCATTCTCAAGGTTGACCTTCTGCAGAAGTGTAGAGCTTGCATTCACCTTCAAGCGCATTGCATCAACCTCTCACCCGACCATGCAATCGACAAGCAGGACGACCAACATCGTGCCAACGTTTTTCGTGATTTTGCTGAATGTGTAACGCTCCCTCCAAGAGCCAGTGTCAAAGTCGACGTCGCAAGCTGTGGATTGCGAATGCGACTTGGTGAAGCGATGGCAGAACGTAATTTTGAAAACCTGCTGACTCAAGGTGTTTGTGTGGCTAGGAGTATCGTACAGCTCCTTGATGGGCGACCTCAAGTGCTGGTTAAAAATGTCAGTAACGAACACCGACATCTATTCCGTGGCATTTCGTTAGCGTTTGCAGATGAATTAGGAAGCGTTTCCACGTGCTTCACGTCAGACGCAGTGGAGACTACCGATATGTCTCTAAACAATATCAATATTAATTCTGACTTTTCACCAGAAAACCAAACAGCATTGAAAAAACTATTGCTTGAATTCAATTTATATTTCGCTACTTCCTCTAAGGTACGCCAGACTTCGATCACTAGGCACAGAACCATCACTTACGATGACGCCCGCCCAGTACACCAGCAGCCTTACCGCGTGTGAACGGAGGAACGAGAAACTATTCGTACGCAAGTTCGACAAATGCTAGACGACGGCATCATTGAGCCTTCCAACAGCGCGTGGTTTTCTACGGTCGTCCTAGTCAAAATGAAAGACGGAATGCTACGCTTTTCTGACATTAACAGGAAGCTGAACAGCGTGACTAAAAAGGACGTGTACCCACTGCCACGCATCGATGATTCTTTAGACAGATTACGCTGCGCCTACTATTTTTTCTCTTGGGATTCAAAAAGCGGGTATTGGCAGATTTAGGTTGACGAGTGAGACCGCGAGAAAACGGCCTTTGTGACCCCCGACGGCCTGTATGAATTTCGAGTCCTTCCGTTTGGTTTGTGTTCACCGTCTGCAAATTTCCATCGAATTATGGACAATGCGCAAAGTTTTCTGAAGTGGCAGACATGTCTCGTATACCTTGATGATGTATTCGTTTTTTCTGAAACATTCCAGCAACATGTTCACCGCCTCAAGAGTGTGCTAGAGGCTATTCGATCAGCAGATCTTACATTGAAGCTGGAGAAGTGTCACTTCAGTTAAGAAAAGCCCAAGTTCCTTGCCCATGTAGTGAACGCGAAATGAGTGTGACCCGATCCCAACAAACTTGCCGCTGTAGCAGTGTTTCCGCCTCCTACGGACAAAAAGGCTGTTCGGCGCTTTCTGAAGTTGTGAGCCGACTCTCAACAACTTATTAGAGGATTTTCGTAGATGGCAGTACCCTGGACCCGCCTTACTTGAGACGACACACCACTCGCTTACACTACAGAGCAACAGGCTGCGTTTTTCGAACTACGACTGCAAATGCAGTCAGCCCCATTGCTGCGCATTGTGACGATGATGCTAACAGAGGTGCACACTGACGCCAGTAACACCAGCCTTGGCGCAGTGTTTGTCCAGCATCAACACGGCAAAGAACGAGTCATAGCCTATGCCCGCTGCTCACAGACCCATACCAAGGTAAGTTAAACGACCACAGAGAAAGAATCTACCGCAGTGGTATGGGCGATCCCCAAGTTTCGCCCGTACCTATCGTCGTCCATTCAAAGTTGTGACGGACCACCATGCCCTCTGCTGGTTGGTGAACATACGTGATCCCTAAAAACGACTGGCCTCAGTGGAGCTTGCGTCTACAAAAATCTGATGTGGCCATCGTCTATAAGTCTGGACGGAAGCATGAAGACGCTGATACATTGTCGCATGCACCTATACAGATGGGTCATTGTTGCATCTGACTATATGACACGCTATCCTGAGACAGAGGCGATACCACACGCCACGGCCTCTGGGGTAGTGCAGTTCTTCATGTGTCACATTGTTCTGCGCCATGGTGCTCCATATACAGTGATAACTGACGGAGGAACAGCTTTCACTGCACAGCTTTCGGGTGAAGTTTTTCGACTAAATAACACTATTCATCAAACGATGACTGCTTACCATCGCCACAGCAACGGGCTCACCGAGCGACTAAATAAGACAGTCACAAACATGATCTTCATGTACATCGACGTCCAACACAAAACATAGGATCGCATTTGCCTTTTGTGACGTTTGCTTGTAACACCGCCATTCAAGAAACAACGCGATTTACACCGTTTCGCCTTCTCTACGGCCGCGAAGTTCAGACGATGAGGGATGCTATGTTTCCGTGTCAAGACGTCGGTCAATTAACAACGGACACCGAAGAGTTTGCATAGCGTGCAGAGGAAACTCGCCAGCTCGCCCAGCTACACATTGGTCAGCAGCAACAGGTTGATGCACCACGTTACAACATGTGTCACAATGACGTATCTTAGAGTGTGGGAGACCAAGTTTAGGTTTGTACTCCCGTTCGTCACCGTTGCCTCTCCGAAAAGTTCCTAAGTAGATACTTCGGTCCGTACAAAGTGTTGCGCCGCGTGAGTGACGTAAGCTACGAAGTGGTTTTTAATACTGTGTCATGAAGATGGCTACAACAAGGACAACCGAGCTTTGACATAGTTCACGTGGTGCGCATGAAGCCTTATTTTGCGCGTTCCTAAGGGATCACTTTTTGTGCTTTATTTGTGTTGCGGTCACTACCTCATCGTTGGTGAACTGCTCGCGTGTAACATTTGACTATTTGTGTTCTTCCCATAGTTTAAGCTGCTATGTTTTTTTTTTGCAATACCTTAAATATACAGCATTGGGACGATGATCTTTTTTTTGTAAAGAAGGAATATTGCCACCTACTTCTAGTAGTGGGTCATATGCCAAAGCGAAGGCTCACACCACTAAAGAAAGAAGTGCGCTCGTGTCTCCCCGCTCTGGCGAGCAAGTCCAGCGACGCGGAATGCCAAAGTAGACTATGCAGGGGAATTCGGCATCGGCTCTAAAAATGACAGAGGGGAATTGTTCGTAGAGTTCGCAGAACGTAATAAACTTCAGATCCTAAATATCTTCTTCAGAAAACGGGCTAAACGTAAGTACAAGCCCGAAACGCGAAACTAAAAATGAAATAGACTTCCTTCTGTGTGCACATCCAGGAATTGTACAGGATGTAGAAGTAGTTTGCAAGACCCGATGCAGTGAATCTATAATGGTAAGAGTTCATCTAGAATTTAAAAAGCAAAGGCCAAACCTGAGACACAAAAAGCCAAACAAAAACTAGCGGTGAGAGGGAAAGTACAGAAACTCACAGTTTCACTTCAGAATAGGTTCGAGGCATTAAACGATAACCTTACTACAATCATCAAAGAGTGTGCAATGAAAGTCGGAAGTACAGTCACTAGACAGGACACTGGCTAAATATCTCAAGTCAAGAAAAATCCTATTCAAAGGTGCAAACCATGAAGGCCTCAAATGCAACCGATGTAATAAAGCTATAAAGCTTTCGAAGGTAATTAATAGGCATAAGGTAGCCACCATGTGAAGGTATAACTTGGAGAGACTTGAACAGGCTGTAAAAAGCGGCAGAAGCCTAAGAGCTGCGAAGGCAAACTTGTGCATAGGCAAAAATCAGATGTATACATTAGGGGCAAAGAATACAATTCCATAGTATAGGATTGTCGGATAGGATAGGATGCAGATGGATAGGATAGTCGAGGTGGTGAAGGAGTTCTACAGAGAACACTACAGAAGTCAAAACAACCAAGAACATATCGTGAGAAACAATGATATTCCAGAGGAATTAAAAATCCTTGAAATTGGAAAAAGACAAAACTGCTGATGAGGTTAAGGGTACAACAGAGCTCCTGAAAGATGGCGAAAAAATTGTGTTAGAAAAAATGACCACGTTATTATATACGAAGTGTCGCTTGAAGTGAAGAGTACCACAATCATGGAAGAACGCCAACATCATCTTAATCCCTAGGAAGGACACGCCAAGGACTTGAATAATTACAGGCCAGTAAGCTCATTGTCCGTTCTGTACAAACTTATTTACAAAAGATTAACAAATAGAATTATGGCGACATTAGAATTCAATCAACCAAAGAACCAAGAAGTATTTCGCACGGGTTACTCCACAATAAACTATATTCATACTATCAATAAGGTTATAGAGATATGCGTTGAATACAACCAACCCCTGTAGATAGCCTTCATATATTAGGAGAAGGCGTTGGACTCAGTCGAGACATCAGCAGTTGAGCAGGCACTACGGAATCAGGGCATCGACAAAACTTGCAAAAACGTATTGGAAAGAATCTTCGGTGAATCCACAGCCGCCATATTTCACCATATTGGAAGTGACAGAATCCCAAAAAATAAGGGTGTAGGCAAGGGAGACGTGATCTCTCCAATGCTATTCACCGCATATTTACAGGAGGTTGTCAGAACCCCGAGATCGGGGTAGGGTTAGGGATAAGAGTTAATGGAGACTGTGTTAGTAACCTGTGATTCGCTGGTGCCATTGATTTCTTGAGTAAGTAAGGTGACCAATTACAGCTCGATATCACTGAACTGGACACGGAAAGCAGTAAGATGCTCTCAAAATATTATGCACAAAACTAAAGTAACGCGCAACAGTCTCGGCACAAAACAGTACTTTGCGATAAGTGGAGAGACACTGAACGCTATAAAGAAATATGTCTACTTATGACAGGTAGTCACCGCTGAGCCAAACCTTGAAACGAAAATAACTAGAAGAATGGGGTGCATCACATTCGGCAAGTACTTTGAAATCTTGTATTGAATTCCACTAACTCCCAAAAGGAAGGTATATAACAGCTGCATCTTGCCGGCACTTACATAAAGAGCAGAAACCTGGATGCTTACAAGAAAGGTTCAGCTTAAATTGAGGATGACTCAGCGAGCATACCAAAATGAAAATGATAACCGTAACCTTCGAATTACACACCGCCGCTATCACATCGAATTGCACACCGCCGCTATCCCTTTAGACCCGACAAACTCAACTCGCTGCCCTAGATGTGTTGAGGTGGTGCTTGCACCGCTAAAGATTATCACGGCTTGGTCGTCGCAGTAGTGTACATTTCACACATCGGTTAAGAACTTCTTGCTCCTCAAGTTCCACGTGGTTTGCCTGCAGGATGTGCGGGTGATATGTTAACCAGCGACTTCAACGTTAATGTATTTTGACGTCAAAACCAGTGGCTTGTCGCGTTTATAGATGCTGATTATAGACTTCACCTCCTCTAGGACTCCACGCAGCCAACTATGCCTAACAGCACCAGTTTCGATATTGTAGGTATTGCATTACTGCCAATTCAAGCACCAATTCAAGCACCTGCCAATTCACTACATTCCGTATGGTTCCTATGTCTCCTGGCTTTACTTCATATAACAGCCCGATGTGTTGCTATTAAACCCATTGCTTCGCCCTTGTGCCGAAACTGTGACTTCATTGCACAAATATTATGATCGAAGTTTCTGTGTTGTGGGTTCAAAGCAATATGCTAAGTTGCAGTAATAATGGAATGGTATGATCGTGTTTGTATGGTTCACTATGTTTCGAGGCCAGCTTAAATTACGTCAGTTATTGTTAGGTGTAAAGTCTTGTACTTGTACTTACGAATCTGCAGTGCCGCGTCAGCAATCTCTGACCCGTAATGCCCGATGTGCGCCGCTATAATGAAGAACAACAAAAAGCTTGAATTACAACGTTATTCACGAAAAGACAAAAGTGAAATTAGGGTGGAGCGCCTAAAGAGCGCTCGACACATATTTACCTGCTGACGCACTTTCTCCGACGAACACACACACGCTTAAACCCCCCCCCCTCCCACACACACACGGCCACGCAACGACTATCAAGCTGCAAAATATGCCTTGTGACTAATACAATGTCCCAAATTAGCTATCTTCCACGTGAAGGCAATAATCTATAATGCAAAAGTGTTCTATGCGAGGGTCCATCAAGACTTCAGTGACGTATTTCCGGGACAGAAATGACTTCCGCAAAATGCATACGATCAGGACGTCAAAAGAAAACATGAATAAAAAATTCTTTGCATGGGAGTCGAAACCAGATTGTCTCGATCCACTAGAACGGATGCCGGCCACGCTATCCACTTTGGTGGCTTAAGCTCAAAAGAGGGCCACGCTCATAGCATTAATCTATTGCAAAAATAGCTGTGGAAGCCAGCCTGCCTCGCATGACTGAAAAACCGCGTTTCCCGCTTACGCTAGCCACCATTAAATACCTGCCGGGCTAAAGAGGAGCCATAGCACCTGTTATTGCGATAGCAATTTATAGACAATCTAGTCTGGATTTCGCCAATGACGTAGGCGTCAGCATCTATGTAGGCATTTATGTCATGCAACGTATATGTATACGTATCTATATAAATGAAAACGCAAAAGAATCCCGAAAAAAGACTACAGCGCGCGGAGTCCAACGTGAGACCTTCGCGTCGTGAATGCAAGACGTTAACCACTGAGCTACTTTTTCTTCTTTATTTTTTAACTACTGAAGCTACTCGAGTAGCCACTTCAACGTTCAAACGGCAAGCTATCTATATCTGACACTTACCGCTGCTTGCGGGCATATTGGTCAAAGGGAGCTAGCGTATACTCAGCATCATTAGCAACATCGCGCAATGCTCGCGCGGCGGATATTATCTCTTACGCACACTTTGGGCCGGTGGAGGAGGTGACTGGACTATCTCTCACGCGCCCTTATCTCCCAGTTGGGAGGATAATACGTCTTGGCTGGCGTTTGGCTTACACTGGAACGATTATGTTGTAGTTACGGGGCACACAATGGTCACTGCAAACGTTGCACAGCCTCCGTTTGCGAAAAGAGCGCGCTTTTTCGTTTCCTTCTAAATATCCATGCTTGGTGTTCAATAACTGCTTAGCATGCCACGGGATGGCGACATCAGCCCATGTTGTGTAGGGTGCCTTGATGTGCTCTTCTGGCACAGAGTGAAAACATTGCTTTTCTTCGACACCATATTGTTTCATACATTCGCGTTCGCTGGTGTTGCTTGGCATGCAGAGAAAGATTGCTTTCTGCGAAATGAGTGGTAATTAGGCTCAGCTTATTGCTTCTGGTGGTAAGACTTGTACATATAATGTTGGTAACAAATAAAACTCTTTATTACGCACGAAGCATTTATTGGCGAAAGATAGACATTTAGAGCGTATTTATTGGTCTGTTTCACTGGCTGCTTTGGTTATCGTGCTCTCGCGGTGGATTGATTAGGTTGATCAGAACCAATTTAAACACTAGCATGAGCATGGCAAGAGCATGCGGAAAACGTAAACTATTGCTCATTATTTGAAAATCATGGTATGCTTTTATTTTATAGCGTGACATATTTGACGAAGTCAAAAAACTACAACAGCTGTTTGGTGAACTTCATGTATACCTAAATTGACACGATGTAACAAGAACATGAGCAAAATATACTTGACTGGTCATAACACAAAAACATTGTTATGCATGTCATGTAGGTCATGAGATACATAACGCTATCCTCGAGCCAAAGCCGCTTTGTTAATTTGATGTGTATGAAAACTGACCCAACATAGTATAGCTAACATCAATGACTGGTGATAACACGAAAATCATGTCATGCATGTCAACTGCGCCATGACATACAGGACAGTCATAATGTTCTAATGGCTGTTTAATAATATTATGTATATGAAAATTGACAGATTATGATAACAGCGCAAGACGCAAAGAAATATCTTGCCAATGCACCAAAATGATGTCATGCATGTCATATACACCGCGAAATATATAACCCAGTCATAGAGCTCAAATGGAAGTTTCCTAACTTGTCGAGTACCAAAATTTACCTGGCCTAATGGGAGATTTTGAATAACATAAATGGCTGATCATAGCATGAAAAATTTGTCATGCATATTATGTAGGCTGTGACATACATCCCTTCATCATGGAGGCTTGCGATTAGCTTAATGTGAATAAGCTTAGTCTGGCTTAATCTACAGTGTTATATGGCCGTAGCCTAATTGATTGATTGATTTGTGGGGTTTAACGTCCCAAAACCACCATTTGATTATGAGAGACGCCGTAGTGGAGGACTCCGGAAATTTTGACCACCTGGGGTTCTTTAACGTGCACCCAAATCTAGGCCGTAGCCTATCATCCAACTGACCAGACTAACTTAATTTACTCGAAATGGCTGGTTCAAAGTTACATTAGACTGGATTAGCTTAATCTTGCTTAATCTAGCCTTGATTATTGCGCCTTAATTTTTGTTGCCTTACTGTGTCCAAACTCAGTCATCCAAATGGCTAGGCGATTTCAACTTACTGGTAAGAATTTTGCTAAAGGTTAGCTTATCGTGATTAGCTTATTCTGGCTTAATGCGGATGGCTTAACACGACCATGCACTGGCACCCAACAGCCTACACAATGTAAACTCACATGCGATTCACTTTCTCGTGGTTAGCTCAGTGTGGATCAGATTAATCCGGCCTAATTGACATTGTGGTCAATCTCAGTCGTCGAACTATCTAGGCATTCTCAACTTACACAAAATATATTTCTTAAATTTTAGCTTACTTCGTATTAGCATAACCCGATTTATTTTAGGCTGGCTTAACGTGGTACTGCTCAGGCAATTCACAGGAAAGACAATTTCAATCCTAATTATCTTTTTATACAATTTATTCGCATATACATTACAGTTACTTCGAATAACATCCACACTACTTTTCATGGTATTATTGTCTGTGAGTTCTCATTATTATTGTGCTAGTATATGTATGATTCGCTTACGTCTTATGAAAATTATAAATGCTGGGTCGGGTACTCACCAAGTCGGAGCGCCGGCCTCAGTAATTGTGGCAATCTTGCCATGATCCTTGCTGCAATATGTATGGAGAAAACATATTATTTCCTACGTATTGTTGAGCCACTTGTAGTACACATTGCTAAAGATATCATGCACAAGTTTGCCGACAAGGCATGAAGGCGCCTATAGGATCTGTATAGCCAAGAAAGATAACAACTCAGATGTAGGAATTCAGAAGCTACTGAAAGTTTCTCAAGCGATATTTTCATAACCATCATTTGCGGCAATTTTCTTCATGGCGAAAAACAATTCTCGCGTGTTCGATATCTTGGAAAGTACCGCCACAATTCTAATGACGCATATTTTTCAGAAAGAAGTTAGTTTTAGTGTAAACTTTTTGGGGCTAGTGCAATGATTGTTATTGGTGTCGTATTTGTGTGCTGAAGTAGTGTGGAAAAATGCAGTGCAAGCAAAGATTCAATTTGAATATGTGTTGTGATACTGAAAACAGGCCGATAACGAAAAGAACGTATTGAAAATCGTATGAATAAAAAAGTAAGAAGGCTATCGAAAAATTTCTGCTTTGTTATTACACAGCCCTACCATAATGGAGTCCTTCTCTTGTTATCTTTCTGAAGTATAAAATCTTCCTATAGTTTTGCGCTGTTTGTTCATGATATCGTGTTTTTAGTAAAACACACGCTGGGCAGTATTCGATTGTCTCACCCCAACTGTCGAGGAGACAAGAAAATACCAGTAATGCTTCTCTATAAGGTTGTTTTTGTTTGCAAATGTGTGAGAAATGTATTACAATAGACCAGTAGTCAGTAGTCAAGTATACTTCAATATTTCAATTTCGGAATCGAAAGTCAACACTGACTTGTAAACCTCCTAAGTTAAATGGAAGAATTTAATGTTTATTACATTACTGCTAACTGGGATGGAAGTGTTCACTGTTTTGTGTAAAGTTTGAGCGCCCTCACAAAAAAATCAGCCACAGCTGTCTACTCCGTGGAGGCGCTCTCGCCTATAGACGACGACGCGGCGTGACAGGCCGCATCTTCTTTTTTATCCAGCTGGCCTCTACCATTTCTACCGCATCTTTTGAATGTGGATACATTTATTAGTCGGGCTATGTCAGGCATCCGACTTTGTCAGTGGTGGTATCGACACTCCAGCAGGTATTGTCTCACCGCTCTCACTCCCTATCCAATAGCAACAGCTGCGGGCGAGCCCGCTTATCGTCGACCCTAGCAGAGAGAGTGTAGAGGGTGTAGAAGAGAATAGGTGCAGCGCTTCGCCTCTCCTTTTCTCGCTGTCCACTCTCTCTCCCCCCTGTGCCCCACTTTACCATCCACTCGCACCTCAACATCAACCGTTCGCTGTTTGGGCGCCTGTCAATAACATCCGGAAATGGGCGCTCGAGATGCGCTGATAAACGGCAGTGCTGAGCCAAGACCACTAGCGGCCCACACTCACGTCTGCTCGCTACTCACTCTCGACCGATCACTGGCTGGGCACGTCCCAAGGTGAAGGCAGAAGTCGGTGACGGCGAACGTTCGACGGCAACGGTGTGACAGGTCCCGTTAGTTAGGGAGGCGATCGCCGGGCTAATTCCAAGGGCCGAAGTATCAGCCCCCCGAACCGCACCATGAAAGCGTAAACAATTTAGAAGGGGTCCTATTTGGCGCGCCAGCAGACGCCGGCTGTGGCCCAAAGAACAGTCAGAGGCGAGAGTTGATGAAGAAAACAAAATTATATTGTTACACAAGGCGAAATTCGTCGCATCTTGAGGGATTCAAAGGTACGACAGTGCTTCATCACGTCGGACACGGAGTTCAAGCAGTCTTTCCCAATTAAGAAATTGTACACGTCTTCGGCTATACCCTTGAGAACGTGTCCAACCTTGTCTTCTTCAGACATCCTCCCATTGACGATCTTGCACAGCTTCAATATTTCTTCAATGTATGTCGTACATGTTTCTGCTGGAAGCTGTGCCCTCTGAGACAATGTCTGCTCCGCGCGTTTTTTCTTTGCGTCCGAATCGCCGAAGCACTTCTGCACTTCTTCAACAAAACGTTCCCAAGTCGTTAACATGTCCTCGTGGTTCTCGTACCACATAAGGGCGGTGTCAGTTAACGAGAATACGACATGATTGAGCTGTTCGTTCGAGTCCCAGCCATTGCTTCTGCTCACCCGCTTGTAGTTCTTGAGCCACACGTCGACGTCTTCTCCTGAGGTCCCGCCGAAGTTTGGTGGCACTCTGTAGTACGGCACGGAACCCATCGGAGTTGGCCTCGAAGCGTTGGATGGCTGCTCTTGGGCCATTACGATCGGTGAAGGTGGAAGTCCGGCGAGGCGGCGGCTGCGACGAAGTCCTGGTAGTGAAGCTCCCGTCTTTGGGTTCGTCCTACCCAGCACCTTCCACCAAATTGTTACACAAGGCGAGGTAAATTAATGTTACACAAGGCGAGGTAAATTAATGGGGGTTTTTAATGGGCCCTGAGTCCGCGATCACAGTCTAATGATGATGATCACCGCCATGGCTCGTACCCACTCAGGGGGATCACAGTGGAGGCAACGTCGTCTTCCTTCTATGCCCACGCTTCCCTTGTTTTTCTGGTAGTGATGCTTTGTATCAATATTCTCATTTATGGCATATCAAAACGATACACAATTATGCACACTTGGCAATAGTTGAATAGGATATGTCACCAATCTAACAACGTACTACACAGTACAATCAGCCACACTCGAAACAAACGGACACAAACAACAATACGCACTGCAATGCAATCGCATGGACCAAACAACCAAGAGACATAAAGACTAAAGAATTCGAAAACTTGTTCAGTCCAAAGTCCTTGGAACAAAAGTCTGAATGATACTCTTCCGATAATCACTCACTCAAAGTCCAGCGCTGTTGTCGTTCCGCTGCCCCCCAATTTTCTCTTCCAGGAAACTTCGCGTCTTCAATTGGCCGCTCTCGAAGCACCTAACTTTGCCGGTAACACGTCGGCTTCCCACGCGTTGCGATTGCAGGACGCGTCTTCGCTCTCTGGCTGTAATCTCCCACTCCTCTGCTTGTAGCACGAGTCTTCACCCCTCAGGTGGAAATTCTCTTCATTACCTGCTTTGTCGCTAAGGGCAAAACCTTCGCCGAAGACTTGGCAGGAACACCCTACACACTCTGGCGCATACTTTTTTCTTCCCGTTTGTCACTGAGGACAAAAGGCTTCGCCGACAAGGCGGAACACCCTGCGCACACTGGCGCGAAATTCCTTCTTCTCCTCCGTCACTGAGGACAAGAGGCTTCGTCGACAGACATGGCGGAAACATCTTACGCACTCTGGCGTGAAATTCCTCCTTCTCCTCCTAATCTCCCATCTCTGCTGCTCGGTTAAATACCCTTTGCGCTAGATTCCAGAAAATTTTCATCGTTTCCGTCGGCGCGATGCGCAGCGAAGGCTGGGGAAAGCGCGAGACGTTTCGAGGGCCGTCCGCGACACATGGCGCAACTCGGCATCACCGCGCCCCTTTTCCTCGAGAACCTTCCAGGGCGCTCTCAGCCGCCGATGTGAGGCGGTTAGTCGGCGAACTACGATTCCGAGAGGGGAGGGACGGCGCGCCCGGGGAGCCTTTGGATGTTTATTTTCTTCTGTATCGTTGACCTTGAGGCGCCTCTGTGCTTGGTATCGTTACTGTCGCTAGAATTCAGCTCCACGGCCGGCATCAACTCCACGGCCGGCATCAAGCCGTGACCTTCGGTTCAATTTACGTCCTCGTCCACCAATGCGGACGAGGACATAAATGAAGAAATCTAACTGGCTTGAAAAATAATATTTTCATGTATTGGTGCAAGAAGTATTCACATAAATGCACGATGAAATGGCAAAACAACTTTCTCCACATGGTTGCGTGATGAGCATGTTATTCTGTCATATCAAAGCCCTGAGGTAGAGCAACGAAGAATTGTCAAAGAGCGAGTGTAGAAAGCAGATATGAACAGCCTTTCTGGGCTACAAGCGGCTCATTGACGCCACCTGAGGCATGTGGCACTTCAGCACACGAGGTCGCCTGATTTGCAGTGATGGATATACGGCCCGAATCATAGGTACCTCTTAGACGTCATAACGCAGCTCCGCAATTTGGTGTGATACGTGTTGATTCCCTAGGGAAAACTCACTCAATAATAAAAAAATCACAGCATATCCACTGAGTGAATCATGATGAGTGGGACTAAGCATCCGTCAGTCTGTCCACACTTCAGTCCGCCCATTCGTTCTTGCTTACGTCCGTGCGTCCGTGTGTGCGTCCTTGTGTGCGTCTGTCCATACATCCGTCCGTGCACCCATTTGTGCGTCCGTCCGTCCGTGCGTGCGGCTGTGCATCCATCCATCCGTGCGTCCAGTCGTCCCCGCATCCGTCTATCCGTGCGTCTGCTTGTCTGTCTGTTCGTCCATGCGTCCATCCGCCCATCTAGTGAACTTCCCAAGTACCACCATCTAGCAAGTATTGCAAGGTCTAAACGGGAGGTGGGTACATTTTACTACTACTACTACTACTACTACTACTACTACTACTATGACTACTACAACTATTACAACTTATACTACTGCTACTACTACAAACATCGCGAATGCACGACGCATGGAATAAGGAGATTCTTCCCTAAAAATTGACCACGTATCGTCGTGCTTCGCTGCAAATGTCATCTGCGTACGGTTGCTTCTGCCCCGAGGTACTGTGTGGAATACAGATGTCATGGGCAGCATAGTCGGAAAACGAAAGCTTACGTAGAACGCAGAGCCACTGGTGGGTGGCGGCACTGTGTCGGCTTAGCGAAACGTAGGCGACACCTGCTTTTTGAAGCATTGCATCTGTCTGTCAGTGCAGCGTAGAAACACTAGAGCCTTTGGAAGTACATATGCATGCATTTTCTACTAAACGAACACTGGACCTAATCCTCACGCGTTGATGTTGCGCCTGAGATATGCCTTGTATTTGCTATTTGATGGACAGTGTTGACAAGTCTCAGTGCTGCCATCACATCGAGATCGCTGGACGTTGGAGAAAGGCCTAACTTTTCACTGGCTGGCTGAATTGTGTGACAGAGGGGCAGACCAACAGAAAGACAGACATTTCTGCGTTACGCAATAAAACAAAACAATCGTCCCTAATACTAGATAGAGCGACGCGTACACGCAGACACAGACGCACACGCACAATGCCGCAACAACACTAATTTTAAACACGAGGTGCGTTGCCGATGTGTGTGCCTGCTTGCAGGAGGGGGGGATTTGAGAACAGGAGAAAAGATGATAAAGGTGGTCCCCACAATTTCAGCAGCTCAGTGCGACACCTCAGCAGTAGCTCACGAAGGAATGGGATAAGGTGGGAGTAAAAGGGGAGAGTGAGAAGTAAATATTAGGAAAGATCAAGATTGGGACATGTTTGAAAGAGACCGATGTTGGGGCACTCCCCGCCGAGAGCTTCACGGTGTCAGGAGATCGCTGGATGGGAGACGACTGGCGTCGGCTATTGCGGTGGCACAGCCATTCGGCACGGAATGCAGCAAGCGATTTTCTCTTACTTAATGCCCATGCGTGCGTAGTAGCAGATCTTTATGTGAAAAATAGACACCGATTGGGTGGTTGCTGTGTGAACTAGAGATTCTGAAAACGATGCTATCAACGCTCTAGCTTTAAGTGCAGAGAAATAAAAAGCAGGAGATACGAAATAAACTCACCCAATAGAACACCAAAGCCGAAACTTGTTACTTCAAGAATCGGTGCCAATATGACAAGCAGGAGCAGAAATGTGGCGCTCCTCATGACTGGCTACCGCTCTTCTGAGGTTGTCGAGAAGAGCGCTCCTGTTTTAAGAAGATGCAAATGCTCCAACTAGTAGCCACAGGAGCTCTGCAGCTGTTTGAAATACCGTGCGCCTATTTTTTTCGTTGTTTCGAGTTCAATAGTGCAGCTTTTTATATACGTCAAACAGGCGTGAAGTTAGTCCAAAATTGCTGGTTGTTTTGTGTCCGAAAACGACAACACGTGGAGAAATCGAGCGGTATTGCCTTGAAAAATTGTCGCATATATACAATGACCTAAATATAATGAATAGAACAACCTCCCTAACGGTGCTGTCACTATGAATTGAAAACGAAAGCGTTGCACACAAGGCATTCGCGTGCAAGACAGTGGAAATACCTTTGTGCAGCGCTGATGTGTTTGCCCTCAGTGAGAGTAAATTACAACTTATTACAGCTTATAACACAAGAGCAATTGTTGAAGGATAAAACTACGCTGTATTAGATGATAGGGTGGCATTCAAGTTTTCCGTTCGCGAAAAAAAAAAAAAACATTAGACGCTTCATTACCCCTGCCACGGTGACCGCGTTTTTATGGAGGCAAAAGTGCTGGAGGGCCTTGCAATTCGATTAAGGCGCATGTAAAGAACACCAGCAGGTCAAAATTTTAAGTCCTCCACTACAACGTTTCTTTTGATAATATCGCGGTTTTGGATCATGGTTTTATTACTACTAATAATAATATAATATTAATTACAATATCATTGTTGATGTTTTATCACCTTATATTGCATTGACCTCTTTCAAACGTTAGCGCAGTGTGAACATATATGACAGTACTCGAGAAGAGCAACGCGACAAGTTTTTATTTTTATGACATTTATGAGCCCATTACAACCGAGTGATGTCAGTAGAAATGCCGCCGCTAAAGGTAATTTTCACTGAAAAAGCAAGTTTTTTTTTATTTATTTACAGATACTGAAAGCCATCCTCGGGCTCATGCAGCAGTGACATGCAACAATGGAAACAGACCATACATTTATTACACGGAATAGCTGCAGGGCTATCAAGCACGCGCACTGATGTATAATAAGAGCAGTACTGGTTTCATGTGCCGTACTTTTGCTTATCATGACGAGCCATTTGACCTTTTCTGTGTAGTTATAAAGCCCGTAACAGAGAGCAATAAACGTTCTTTAATTTTGCCCCTTCTGCCGGCTACGTTCTGTTACTTCAGTGGCGACGAAGATGGGATAATTCCACAATGACAGCAAGGTCACCCGAGTACGATGACACGACTAGTAGCTGGAGCACTTACCTTGTCCGTTTGGAGGCCTTTTTAAGGGCCATGGGATCACAGATCCAGGAAAACGGTGTGCGCTTCTGGTATCGGCGCTAAGTGACAGCGTTGTTTGCGTGCTTCAGGGGCAGTGCCAGTGAGAATCGGTGAGCAGCCTGAGCTGTGACGCCGTCGTGCAGTTTTTTTTTTCATTTCATTTCATTTATTTTACCCTCAATCGCACATAGCTTTACAGAGGAGAGTGGGGTACAAAAAATAATAAACTATGAACAAGAGCAAACATAATAACATCAAAGTAATAAAGATTACAAGACATGAAAATTTGATGTTAGGCAATACAATAAATGTATGTGTAAGTATCATCAGAAACATGGGGGAACAGAGTACAATAGTATATATGTGCAATATACACTTCACGCGTCATCACGTAAGTACCTCTGTATTGTAGAAGAAAACAAGTCATGATTTGAAATGGAAAGCATGTCCGAGGGAAGGTGGTTCCAGTCGTTGGATGTGCGTGGGACGAAGGAATGATGGAAAGTGTGAGTGCGGCAGGTAATGACGTGTACCTTATGTTGATGATCTAAACGGGCTGAGTAATAGGATGGAGTGGTAATGAACTGAGCTTTTAATAGTGGATGATTGAATATCTTGTGAAAAAGTATGAGACGAGATGCTTTGCGAGGTGATTAAAGTGACTGTAGCGAAAGGATGTGTTTCATTGAGCTAAAACTGCTAGTGCGATGGTAGTTAAATAGAATGAAGCGTACTGCGTTATTCTGTGTCATTTCAAGCGAGTGAGTTAAGTTTCCGTTGAAAATGGTCCCGAATTGAGCATGCATATTCGAGTTTTGGATGAACTAGTGCTTTATACATTGTGAGTTTCACGGCTTGAGGGGCACGGCTGAAGTTGCGTCGTAGGTACCCTAACATACGGTTGCTATTGTTAATAACACAGTTAATATGATGCTTCCAGTTCAAGTCAGATCTTATATGAATCCCCAAGTATTTATACGAAGTTACAGACGCTAGATCAGTGTCATTTAGGATGTAGTTAGCAGGGTGTCCGGTAGTTCATGAGATACGTAAAATTTTACATTCGTTAGTGTTGAGGTCCATGTGCCAAGTTCTACACCAGCTGGCAATACTATTATTGTCACCTTGCAAAGAACTATCGTCAGAGTTAGATAAAATTTCTCGGTAAACTACGCAGTCATCTGCGAAAAGGTGAATTGAAGAAGTTACAACATCGGGTAAATCGTTAATACAAATAAGGAATAGTAATAGGTGCAACATATAACCCTGGGGCACACCAGAAGTAACGGGAGAAGAGGGTGAGCTGTAGTTGTTAGCAACAACGAATTGTGAGCGAGTAATTAAGAAAAACTCGATCCAAGCAAGAATGCCGCCATAAATATTATGGGTCCTAAGCTTATATAGTAGTAGGTGATGATTATTCTTGTCAAAAGCCTTCGAAAAATCTAAAAAAATGCAGTCGACCAGTGAACTCCGATCTAGAATGATATGTAACCAATGGGTAAAAGAAAGCAACTGCGTTTCGCATGAGAATGACTTCCTAAATCCATGCTGTGACGTGCTAAAGAACGAATTTGATTCTAGAAAGGCGACCAAGTTAGAGAAGATTATGTGCTCCAAAAGTTTGGATGGTATAGATGTAAGCAAAATAGCTCGGTGATTAGTGACAGAATGCTTGTTTCCTGACTTGTGTAGCGGAATCACCTTTGCCTCTTTCCCAACGCGTGGCACCGCACCTTCATTCAAAGACTGTCGGAATATTTTGCACAAGAACATAGATGAGGCATGTTTAGTTTCTTTAAGGATTCTTGCGTTTATATTGTCAACACCACAAGCAGAGGACACTATGAGGGATTCAAATACTTTTACAATTACATGAGCCTCAGTCACTATAACAGATTTTGATAGATAGTTGCGCACTGGTAAAGAGATGGTAGCAGAAGTGAACGATACTGAAAAGTTCCGGATAAAATTTTCGTTCAGACGTGCTGCACACATCTCGGAAGACACGGGAAGGCCGTCCGAGTCAACAAGTACAATTTCACTGTTGTTGGTGTTTGTAATAGTTTTCCAAAACTTTCTATGATTGCTAACAAGTATTGATGGCAGAGTGTTAGATAGAAAGTCTTAGCATCCGAAACTGCTGACGAGTAAACTCGCGCAGCACTCTCGTAGGTGCGCCAGCGTTTCTCCGTACTCTGGAGTTTCGCAGCACGAAACAAGCGTTTGTTTCTGTTAGAAAGTCCCTTTAGGTATGTATTGTACCAGGGTGAGCAAGAGCTCACAGGTATAGACTTTAAGAGAGCAAAGGTGCGAGTGAGTTTGTAGGTTTTGTTAACAAACAGATCCCAGTTTTCCTGCACGGTTCTATTATCAAAGTCATGTAGAAAAGCGTCGTAAAATAAAGTGAGTTCGTGGTTAATTGCCTCAAAGTTTGCAGCATTGTAGTTATATATAACCTTGCGTTTGTTAGTAGCAGTTGGCATGCTGCTGCGTATGTAAAAATGTAGCAGACAGTTATCGCTGAGACCATGAAGTGAGTTTAGTGCATGGATGTTCTCGGGCATTTTTGTAAGAATCAAGTCAAGAATGTGGGATGAGGAACTGGTGACGCGAGTTGGGTTATTCACCATCTGCGTAAAATTAAACAGGTTGCAAGTATCAAGAAAGCATTAGCCATTTGGAAAAAATGGTACGACTTCTGGTAACGATGACGCCCACATTATGCTAAAATAGTTGAAGTCGCCGAGAATAGTTATTGAAAAAGATAGGTACCGCATTGTAACTTCCTTAATGTTATCGTGAAACTTCTGAACAAAGCTGATGTCTGTATCTGGAGGTCGGTAACAGACGCCAAGAAGAAGCGTTTAATTATTTACAATCACCCCGCATCATATCACTTCCAATGTAGACGTCACGTTTATAAGAAACGACTTAAAATGCTTTGAAATGACAAGCAAAGTACCACCACATTGTCTTTCATCCCTATCGCGGCGGTAAATGTTCAACGATTTGTAAATAGTAAAAATTTCGTTATCGCAAACATGAGAATTCAACCAAGTCTCGGTCACTGCAATCACGTCGGCTTCACAAGAACCGATAATAGCGTCAAAAGCGTCGCGCTTTCCTAATATACTACGGATGTTCGTGTAGAGCACCAAAATATGACGTGATACGATACTGCCACTTCCCCTTGCTGATTGTTATGAGAAAGCATTAGATGTCCGCGCACGTGAAAAAAGTGCGGTGTCAAGCAATGAACGTGCGTGAAGGTCACGGCTGTGATCGGAAGTCGAGTACGGGACAACCACTTCGATCCCCAAGCTAATGAGATTGCAGCGAGCTACGCTTTTTTCATGCGGAATCAAGCAGAAGGCAAAAAGGTACGGGACTACATCACTGACCTGAGACGTCTCGCAAAGGATTGCAATTTCGAGAAGTTCTTGGACCACATGTTGTGGGATCGGATTGTCTGCGGAATCCATAACGAACAAGCTCGACGACACATGCTGTCGCAAAGGACGTTGAATTAGGCGGACGCAGAAGCTTTTGCTCTAGCTGCAGAAACGGCGGAAACAAATGTGTGGGCTACGCAAGAGAGGCGTTTCAATGGCAACGGTGTCATCATTTTTGTACAGAAGCACAGGATGAATTCGCAGAAATCAGGACAAGGCTATGCACCCACGACCGAGTCTATTCAATGCTGGAGATGTAGCTCGAACCATGCTTCAGAAATGTGCCGGCACAAGAAAGCGACGTGCCACCAATGTGGCGGGAACGGACACCTGGCGAG